AGACGAAGAAGATGCTCGTGAACAAGCGCAAAGCCACCACCACCTAAGTTTCTTTAAGCACTACGAGCATTCGATCTATCTACCATGCTGCAATATGTCGATCATCTATCTACTGATTTTTAACTTAGAAACATGAATAAAAATGTACTAAAGTTTTGCTGGTTAATTTGAGATGGTGTGAAGTTATCACAAAAAGACAAATCTTCTTCATTACCAAATCTTGTAAGGAAAATTGGCAAAACTCTTTAACAAATTGTTTCAAATTGGCAATAGTAAAGCCAACAACATGAAAGGGTTTGCAGGAGGTCACAAATTGTTAAAGACAAAGAACATTTGAAAACAATTATCTCTCAAAAGTGAAAACAACAATGGCAGCTCTGAATCTACACCTCATCTGATACCGTTTTGATAGCTAACTCGATTGAGCAGCTATGAATCGTTTGGTTGCGTGGATTACTTCTTGGTCAAACGACGACACTTGCTCCTCATACTTGTAAAAGCTGTTCCCAAACAATGCAATTTTGGACAATCCATCTATTTTCCAGTTTGCTTCCAATAGGTTGCTGTCCAACTTGGCCTCACAGTGTGGCGTGAAGAAAAGACTAGGCTTTAAAGCTTTCCTGCGAGCTTGCTCGTTCAGATAGAACGGTGCCTCCCAGAGACTTTAGGACACTACATTTAACCCAATATTCAGGAGGCGAGTTCCATTTTGCAAGATTATTCCTTTGTCAAGACTATGCAAAAGAGTAAGACCGCAACATAAGAGTATGACTTCATAAGATTATGCTTATGCTCTCAGGGCCGGCCCTGGAGACACAACAAGATAAACATTTGTATTTGTTGTGGCCCACAATTTTTTTTTCAAATTCTTTTACAAAAATTAATTACAAAACGGCCCCAATTATATTGATTTTTACGAAAATTGGCCATAACTTTTAAAACCTTTCAAAATAACCGCAATTTTTTTTTGAGTATTAGGTCCCTGAAATCTCAGGACCCGTCCTGCTTATGCATGAAAATAAGTTTTATCTTACTTGTTGCCTTGATTGACTTTGAAACCAAATAAAGCATCATATTCTTTGGAGTAAAATATTTCAAAAAAATCTCTGATGGCTTTTGGGTTCCACGTCTGATGCAAATAACCGAAAGAGCATGTCCACCGGGTAATCAAGCATAGTAGCTGTAAAAGAATAGTTTCAATTAGCTTCAGAATTCTGAAAGCATGATAAAAAGGGTGATATAAAAACAATAACACTTATTTAAGATCAAAATAAAACAACAAAAAGGTTGCTAAAATATAAATCTGACAGATATGTAGCAAACAATAGTGGAATTGTATCCATGCTATGAAAGTCAAGACTATCAAATTCTGTCCTCTGAATCTGAAGATATTCTTCTATGACCCATGTGCTGGACTCGTACCTCTCATAATTGGAGGTATAGGTAGACATAAGACAACAAATATATTGAGTATAAAAATTAAGTTAATTACCTTTTCTAGTCCATAGTTAGTGAGATTCATAGAAATGACAAATAAACGGCATAATGAAGTGCAACTATATCCGGTACCACCAACTTTAACATCTAAAGAAGTTGTCCACCCTTTCTCTTTGAAAAGGGCATACAACAATCTTTGCCCTCTAGAATAGGAATAAGGCGCAAGACATAAAGACTTACCATCCACAAATAGTTGGATCAGATAGTTTTATGGCTTTTCCAAATAGAATTTGTCAGATTTCGGAGGAATCATCCATGACACCTCTAAAAAATGATTATCTCCAACAACTTGTAGTTCATACAATACATTAGCATTCCATATAGGCTCAAATAAGTTGGGCTTAGGGTTAGTTCTCGATCCTATCTTAACCCCATCAAAAAACTTTCTCACCCAATTTCAAGTACATCGAGAGTTGGTATAAGTTTTGAACATAGACATCAAATTTATTAACATATATATTATCTTGAGAACTGAATAGGTAGAGAAAAATATATAATCAAATAAGAATTTTAATATTTGCTAAGTCGTCAGAATATAATCAAACTCAACAAATTTATATTGTTTTACTGAATTTCTATTCATATTACATACATCAATTATATTTAAAAAATAAAAAATAAATTTCAAGTATATAATTTAATATGTGGATGACGAATATCTTTACCTAGATAATATTAAATTCTAATATTAATATTTGGTAAGTCGGCAGAAAATATAGTCAAAATAAACAAATTTATACTGTTTTATTTGTATGGTTTTATTGAATCTCTTTTCATTATTACATACATCAAATATAATCATTTTAATAAAATAAAAAATTAATTTTAAGTTTGCAAAAGAGTGACACGTGTCACGTGATGAATGGTGAACACACATAATTGACGGTGTTCCCAGTGGTACTATATCATTCTTTCCGTTTGTGCAGTCAGGAGTACTGAATTTTGATTTCTGGCAGCAAATCACGACGACGAGACGACCTCGGCCTCTCTTCTTCCACCACCGCACCGCATCGCATCGTCTTCTTCTTTCTTCTGCGAGCGGGTTAATTTCTCTCTTCTCTCTCTCTATCTTTTTGTTCATCATCACGATTTTCATTTCGCTGATCTATTGATTCCGACTATAAAATTCGTCTCATGTGTTGATAAATGTTTTCTAGATCGCTTCGAGGAGCCTGCGTGCTAGGTTTTCTCCGCCTTCTTCCTTTCCTAATTCTAGATCTGTAAGTTACTCTGCATCATTGCGGTTTCGGTTTAATTTTAGATTTGTTATGATCCTCGTTTTCACTTGCCTCTGTTCAATTTCTGCGATTCGTCTGATTAGATCGGTTCTAGTATCGTTGAATCTCTATTCTCGCTCTGTGCGCAGTCTATTTGTTTGGGTATGCACTCTTTTTTATTGTACAAGTATAGTATATCGTGCTAATGTTAGGGTTATTCGTTTGATTCCGTATGTAGTATCCCTCTAGTCGACGTCAAATCCATATAATGTTTCCATATATTGATTGGTTACCAACACTGATACGAGAGTTTTGAATCTCTATGGGCTATGTATGTATATATCAGAGTCATGGCTAAGCCATGGGCACATTTTTTAAACACTAATGTTGTAGTTTCAACTTTGAATGGTCTAATTGCTGAATTTCAACATGTTTTTACCTATGGCAGCAAAAGGTAGAAGCAGCTGATTACAGGAACCATGATGTCCTTTGAAATGAATGACCGGAAAAGTAAGTTCACATTGTGATTTCTATAAATATTTCGTGCTATTTGAAGAGAAAGATACTTGTTACTTAGTTATACTTAATTCTTCTTTTGCTTATCACGTTCTTGAGTGAGTAGATCATTGAATGTCATGTTATTGTTGGGAACCCAATTGTTTTCAGTATATCTTATTACCTACCAGGGTACAGAGTTATTCCTGCTGTACTTGGATATACTTAAAACGTTTCTCATGTGCTTTGAAACAGAAATCGGGTTAGGGCTGACAGGATTTGGCGTATTCTTCTCGTTTTTGGGAATTGTCTTTGTCTTTGATAAGGGATTACTTGCCATGGGAAATGTAAGTACCTCCGACATCTTTGTTTTCTATGCTTTGACCACTATTCTGCATACACGTACAGAACTAGAGTGAGAGCTTGTTTCTTTTCATATTTCTCAGATTCTTTTCATCTCGGGGGTTAGTCTAACCATTGGCTTCAAGTCTACCATGCAGTTCTTCATGAAGCGTCAAAATTATAAGGTTTATTTCCGTCTTTCCCTACCTTATCAATATCTCTGGGTCAGTCTCTGCTGGAGTTTTACATATTTCTCCTTAATGTCATATATGTGTGTTCATTTGGCTTTATATGTTCTCCACTCAGGGAACCATATCTTTTGGCGTCGGTTTCTTCTTTGTTATAATCGGGTGGCCTATCTTGGGAATGATGTTGGAGACCTATGGCTTTTTCGTACTCTTCAGGTCCTTTTGCTTTTTTTCTTCTTCCTTATTGGTATTACTTGTGGAAATGTAAACAGATACTAAAAACGTTTTCTATTTCAGTGGCTTCTGGCCAACCTTGGCAGTTTTTGCTCAGAAGATACCCATTCTCGGTTGGATCATTCAGCAACCATATATTAGATCGGTATGTGTCCAATTCAAAATTCACTGCAAAACAAAAACTTTTGCAACTACTGCAAAATGAGACTCTTAGACCTTGAGTACAACACATACAGAACTCATATGACTCCCAGTTTCGCCTTTTCAAATTACAACTGATAATTCTCTCTTTGTTTCTGATGGTCTTGAGTTTCTAGGCCTAGTGTTTTCTCAGTTTGCCCTAACTTTAATATTAACTCTGCTGCATATTCTGCCAATTGTTGGCTAATGCGATTGATTGACTCGTTTCTGTTCATGTGATGTGTAGTTCTTTGACAAGTACCGGGGCAAGCGTGTGCCGGTCTAGTCTTCCAGCCCAAGTAGAGAGGCGATTCACTGAGCTAGATGCAGCTGAACAGACGATTAAATTTTTTTTGGAAGAAGAAGTTGGTGTGCTTGTGACTCCTGTAGAAAACTAAAACCATAGGAGAAAGAAAATAGGAAGGAGCAGAACGTACAATTTGAAGCTGTGTGTTCTATGTACTTAAGAGAAAACTCAGTGACTTTAATGCTCTTATGATGGGTTTGTAAACGTTTTGGTTTTTTAACTTTGACAAATCGTTTGGCCAAATTTGATTTTGGCAATACGTCGCTTTTGGTTTTGCATACATATAAAATTGATTAGCGGTTCCGGTTTAATGTGTAATATTAATGTGGTTCGGTTTATGACGAAACTGATATTAGACCATGTACACTGGTGAATTTTTCTGAGTATCATTAGCCCATAAATAATTTTATAATGGTTTAAATAACACAATTGGGTCTGATACGTATCAGTGGACTGATACCTCTGATACCCATTTTGGTGCGACGTGGCGAAACATCATTGGTCCGTGGAAACAGAGAAAAAAAAACAAAACTCATTTACTTCTTCTTCTTCTCTGTTGCGACGAAGAACAAAAAAAAGGGCTTCTTCTCTTCTCTCCTCTCCTTCTTCTTCTCTGTTGATTCAAAAAAAAATTCTTCGGATCTGGGTTTCTCTCTTTCAATCATCCTTCAAGCTCATCTCTTTCTTCAACCCTAGAACGAAAGTCTCCTCCTTTATTAATGGGTTGCGTTAGTAGTAAACACCGGAAAACTCAAAACGACGGTGGAGAAAGAACAATTCCGATCAATCCAGTTCAAACCCATGTCGTTAATCAAGTCCCTGAGCATTGTAAACCTCAAATCCTAACACCCAAACCCATGAAACAAGCAATCCTTCAACAGATTTCAACGCCGTCTTCAAACCCAATCTCAGTTCGAGATCCAGATACGATTTTAGGTAAACCATTCGAAGACATCAGGAAATCTTACAACTTGGGAAAAGAATTAGGTCGAGGTCAATTTGGGATTATGTATATGTGTAAATAGATTGGAACTGGGAACACTTATGCTTGTAAATCGATTCTTAAGAGGAAGTTAATTAGTAAGCAAGATAAAGAAGATGTGAAGAGAGAGAGATTCAGATAATGCAGTATTTGTCTGGACAACCAAATATTGTTGAGATTAAAGGTGCTTATGAATATAGACAATCTGTGCATTTGGTTATGGAGTTGTGTGCTGGTGGTGAGTTGTTTGATAGGATTATAGCTCAAGGTCATTACTCTGAGAGAGCTGCTGCTGGTATCATTAGGTCTATTGTCAATGTTTGGTAGTCGACAGTATGGAGCAGGAGTTGATGTCTGGGCTGCAGGCTGTATCTTTGCTGAGCTATTACTTCGTAGACCATTTCTTCCGGTAATGTTCTATACTTGTCGTTCTTTATGTTTCAAAGTATCTCTGTTTTTTTCAAAACATTTAGTTAAAAAGATCTCTCGTTTCTTTCCTCAGGGTTCTACTGAGATTGATCAACTTAGGAAGATCTTTCAAGCCTTTGGAACTCCAGTACCTTCTCAATGGTATGACATGATCTATCTCCCAGACTACATGGAATTTCTTTGTCTTGGTAACAAAAGATGTTGCATGCTTTTTGCAGACAATCATTTATTATGCACTTGCTGTAACTCATGACATCATGGGCTGTTGTGTGTGAAGTGTGGTACTTGGAACCTCAAACCATAAGGCCCGGTGAAACAGGGATTGAGTTTGCAGAGAGGTGAAACACTCTTCTTTTAGACCTTCATCAGAGAAGTCATATACTAAGAAGTTTGCATGCACTTTATTTACTTGTGACAGGGTAAGAGACATGATATCTCTTCGGGCGGGTCTCAAAAAGGTCCCTTGGGATGGATACTGTCATTATTCTTTCTAGCTGAATCTCTGAAGAATTTTCAGTAGCATGGTTCTTGGTTTAATGCATGTGTGGTTAAATTAAAACTTTGCTGCATGTAATTCAGGAAGCGTTTTGTTTATAGAGAAAGAGTGGATGTTTGTAGATTTTGTGACTACAACTAGTTATTTATGTCATGTCGTCACTTTTTAATGTTATGCATCCTCTAAACATAGAAAATGGTTGTTTTATGTCTTATATGTTGTTCTTGTATACAAAAGCAGTTTATGTGTGTTCTTACTTCTGTTTTTGGTTAAACTCATCTGCTCCTTTTCTTTTGTTTCTAAAATCACCCAAAATTTAATTATAAATTTCACCAAATCACCAATCTTTTTACTTCTCAAATATAAAAACTCTAACAAATAACTAAATCCCTTAAAAACTTGATCAAATCTCTCAAAAATTTAAAATTTATAAATTCCAGCAAATCTCCTAAAATACAAAGTCCAATACACCCTCCTTAATGTTTTTTTTTCTAATTTTACGTTTTTTTTGTTTAAGTATATTCTACGTTTTTATGGATTGTAATATTATCTTTTGTAATATTATGTTTTTATATATTTATTTTTGATTTTTTAAATAATTTTTTTTAATTAATGATACCGATACCGGTCTCACCACTGGAAACAGATTTATTACCAGTATCATAAAGAATCTCAAATAATAAACAAATATTAAAATTAATACTAAAAAATTGTTAATGATACTCATAGAGTATCAACTATGTGCATGCTCTTAGAGGCCCACTTGGAAGTTGCGAGTTTAAGGGACCGTTGCGTTAATCGTGTGTGTAGCTAAATCGTCTGCAGACGTGGCACTTGCTGAGTGGTTACTATACGAATCCTTAGTGCACTTGAGCGTACCAGATCATCACTATCTCATTTGTTTTCCCCCGAAAAAAAAAAGAAGCTACCGTCTTTTTCTAGCCGTTGGGGCTGAAATTGAACCATCATCATCATCCTAATCGCCTTTTTTTTCTTTTACCCTAATTTATCATCTTATCCCCAACGAACTTTTCTCGATTTCGATTTGATTGGTAGTTTGGTACTGATCTCCGGTGAAGTAAAACACTGGAAGGAGATGAAGTCATCGAGAATGAAGTTTGCAAAGAAATTGAAATCGATTAGAGCCGGCGAATATCTGAATCAGGATCGGATTCTCCAAGTTCTTTCTGCTGCAGATGGGATCTCTGAGTTTTTTCCAAAGATATCTAACCCCATTCCTCAGATAACAGCCGCTTCTATCTGGAGAGTCCCTCAAAAGCTTGATGATCAAATTGCAAATGTAACGGAACTTGTGGAAAACGAGAAAGGAGGAGGAGAAGAAGCTTCTTCTGGAAACGTCGTCGGCGACGAAGAGAACGTACGGCCTCCGGTGAACCAGATTCCGAGAGTTCCGTGTGATCGGAAAGAGAGTAAACCGGCAGTTTCGTGCGGATCTGATACAGGTAACGGAAGGAAGAGTTTCGGATCTGGATTTAGAAGACCTGATTTGAATTCAACCACACTTTTCGATCCGAAGCTGTTAGAAGCATTTGAATTAGCTGCGTTATGCTTTAGGAAGATTGACGATTTCTCCAGAGAAGCCAGAGTCAATGATGATGACGACATCGTCTTTCCCGAGGAAGAGGAAATCGGAAAAGACGAGAATACCCTTCCCCCGGTGATTGGCCTCGAAGAAGAGGATAGACGGAAAGATGAAAACGTCTTCGTCCTTCACAAAGATGATGGAAATGTCCTTCAGATAGCAAACGCCACCGCGGAAGAAGTCATCGGAGAAGACGACAATGGAGAAGACGGAAGTACCCTTATCGATCCGTTGTTGGAATTCGAGGAACGGTGTCCTCCGGGAGGAGAGGAATCCGTTGTTTTCTACACAACGACTCTTCGGGGAATCAGAAAAACGTTCGACGACTGCAACATGATCCGATTTCTGCTGGATAGTTTTAAGGTTAAGTACTACGAGAGAGATGTGTCGATGCACAGAGAGTACAGGGAAGAGCTCCGACGAATCTCAGCGGCGGAAACGGATGTTTTGCCTCCGGTTCTGTTCATAAAAGGAAGGTGTATCGGTGGAGCTCAGAGAGTGTTGGGTCTGCACGAGCAAGGGAAGTTTAGAGTTCTGTTTGACGGCGTTCCAATCACCGGAGATGAACGTTGCCGGCGATGCGATGGGTTTAGGTTTTTGATGTGTGATGGATGCAGAGGTAGTCGCCGGATTATCTCCGGTGATGGATCAAGGATTCAGTGTTTGATATGTAATGAGAATGGGTTAATTGTGTGCGTTGATTGCTCCTAAGATCATTTTTTATGTGTGTATATATCAAATTACACTATTCGTTTATTATTTTTCTTAGTGCTGTAACGATTTCTTCTTATACAGAAAATAAATGTGGTCATCAGTTATACCATATGGTTGTTTCTACGCAAATCACAAATTAGCATTGATATTTCAGAATTCTAGACACTAATTGCACTAATTTATAGCATTAGTTTGTTAATGTTTATATGATGTTTACATGTAACATACCGGTTTTAGTAGCAGCATGTGGTAACCTCCACTAAGACTGTCATCCATAATTTACAAAAACTACATTTATTTGAGAATTTAACCTTATAATTAGAGCTGTCAAATGGGCTTTGGGACCATGGGCTAGACCGGTCCAAATAAAAATGGTCATGTTTTGGTCAAGCCCAAAATAAAAACGGTTAATATGGGCTAAAAACCATTTAGGCCCGTACGTAAATGGTCCGGACTTATTTGGACATGGGCTGTCCAACTATTATTAAAAATTAGGGTTATGAATATTTGGGGGAAAATTAGATTTGCAATCGAAATCTCGTTTCTCAAATTTCTTTCTCTCTTTCTCGATTTTAGACGATCTCAGAGACGATCTCAGAGACGATCTCGGATTTGAGGCTTGGTGGGTTCCGTCTCTTCTTCTCTTCTCTAAGTTGGTTTTTGAAAAACTTTTCTGGGTTTGTGTTGATTCACGATTTGTGTTTATGGGTTTGTGTTGATTTGTGTTTATGAGTATGTACGTTGATTTGTGTTTATGCGTATGTACGTTGATTTGTGTTTATGAGGTTTGTATTGATTTGTGTTTATAATTACTCTGTTGCTCTTGCTAAGCTCTTGTGTTTAATTATAGAGTCTTATCAAGCATGACGTTCTCTACCTTGTGTAGCTCTAGTCTCAGAATTTTTAGCTTTTGTAGCTCTAATTTCATATTTTGTAGCTTTTGTTTTTGTAGCTCTAATCTCAGATTTTGTAGCTTTTGTAGCTCTAGTCTCATATTTTGTAGCTTTTGTTTTTGTAGCTCTAGTCTCAGATTTTGTAGCTTTTGTAGCTCTAGTCTCATATTTTGTAACTTTTGTTTTTGTAGCTCTAGTCTCAGATTTACACTTCTGGGATTTGTAATTTTGATTCCTTCTTTTATCTTGTTTCAGACGATGGATAATGCTATCATTAACTTGAATGGCAACGACAATACTATTGATGAAGATATGGACCATCTTGATGGCAATCCTCCTAAGAAAAAGAAAGGTACACCCAAGCCAATTCGCCCTACCCGTAGATTTTCTAAGTGTTGGAATAAGTTCACTATAATTGGAGAGAAGTTACCTACTGGTGAACATGATATTAGATGCAAAAAATGTAAAATGCAGTATAGATTGAATCTAAATAGAAATGGGACGACAACTTTGCTTCGTCATATGGGAGTTTGCGATGGAAGTTCACCCACTGTTCAAAAGTTAGATATGAGGGTTTTCCGTGAAATGATTGCAATGGCCATCATTGAGCATGATTTACCATACTCGTTTGTCGAGTATAGAAGGATTAGAATGGCTTTAGCTTATGCTAATTCTACTATTAAGTTTTGGAGTAGAAACACAGCAGCAGCGGATGTGTTAAAGATTTTCGAGAAAGAGAAAAATAAACTTAGAGAAATTTTGACAAATGTTCCTAATAGGGTTTGCTTGACTACTGATTTATGGCGGGCTATTACTATTGAGGGTTACCTATGTTTAACAGCTCACTACATTGATACTGATTGGAACTTAAAATCAAAGATATTGTCTTTCACTGCATTTCCTCCTCCTCATTCTGGAATTGCTATAGCTATGAAACTTATTGAGCTGTTGAAGGAGTGGGGGTTAGAAAAGAAAGTGTTTTGTCTTACAGTTGACAATGCTTCTGCGAATGACAGTATGCAAAGTATTATGAAGAGACAACTAGAGAAAGATTTAGTTTACAACGGAGAGTTTTTTCATGTTCGATGTTTTTGAATCTTATCGTACAAGATGGGTTAGATGTGATTGGTGGTGCTTTGCAGAAAATAAGAGATAGTGTGAAGTTCGTTAAAAGGTCTGAAAGTAGAGAAATAATGTTTGCAAACGCTATGAAAACAGTAGGAATGCAAGCTAAAGAGGGTCTGATTTTAGACGTGGTTACTCGCTGGAATTCAACATATCACATGCTGTCTAGAGCTATTAAATTTAAAGATGTTATAAGGAATCTTGCAGATGTAGAACCAAGTTACAAAAGCTTTCCTTCTGATTTAGAATGGAGTAGAGGAGAGTTGATATGTGAATTCTTGAAGCCATTTTCTGAAATGACAAATCTGATTTCAGGTTCTTCTTACCCTACAGCTAATGTATATTTATTTGGTTATGATCATTTTTGGACTTGGTCACTTTTGGGCTTGGTCATTTTTTTCAACAAAAAAAAAATGTCCAACTAGACAAGACCATTTGGTCATGGTCAAGACCAATTGACAGCTCTACTTATAATTGATTAAATCATCGATCAAACACTTCACAAAACGTTTTCACTAAATTCACTGAATAGCTAGCTAAACGGATACTTAAATAATTTGTTGGACTTTATCTGAATGTTAATAAATACAGTCAAGTAGTCAAAAGAGCAAGTTGGGCCGCCAGGGTCGACTGAGTGGAAAAATCTACTGATTGCAAATGAGAGGCGGGCCTTCCTTTTCAACCACAGCCGCCTATTTCTCTATTTACTTTTATCATCACAAACTGCTATTTTTAAAGGATCTTTTTCCTTTTTTTTTCTAGAATTATACTTATAACTTAACGTACTTGTATAAAATGAATTTCTTCTACTCCCAAATGTATCTCAAAATCCCATTCCAAAACGATTGGCTATGAATTGTTTGAAAACGAAATATAACGATCTTTTTAAAGAAGAAAAAGATGTTTTCCATAATCAATTTATAAAAGCGTGCAATTCATTTTCTGCAAGCCTTTTTTTTCTTTTCTATTTGTCCTTTATGCAACAATTAATGCGGACTAGAGCGACAGTCGTGGATTCTATGAGGTCCAGTTACATTTCTTGGTGTCAGAAGATTTTTTTCCATTTTTATTGCTTAAATCTATTTAAAACATAGTATTAATTGTGGAAACGTTTTAAAACATAGTAATTGTTAATCCGCATTACATATCCGCTGATTAACAATGATTTTAACACTTTTCTAATCCAATTCCGGACGACTCTTTTTTTTTTTTTTTAATCTCAAACCTCTAATTTAGTTTGCTAAAAAATCTTAAAATGCAGTCCACTAAACATGTGTGTTTTTAATCTCGACCGTCCGATCACAACAAAATCCCACTTTTCCCCAATAGAATATGCAATAATTAAGGAATTTCTAATTAATTAAATAAAATAGAGGAAAAACATCTATTTATTTTTTAGCTTTTATTACACCGCCACAAACTCTCACTATAAAGCCGATCCCTAGATAGACGAGGACCGGCCAGAAATCGCTTCACGATTACCAAATCTTTCTTCCATTTTCTCTCCACAAAAATCTCTCTTCAATCTCCGACAATGGAAGGAACTGGCGTTGTGGCGGTCTACGGTAACGGTGCGATAACGGAGGCTAAGAAATCTCCCTTCTCCGTTAAGGTTGGTTTGGCTCAGATGCTCCGTGGTGGTGTTATCATGGATGTCGTCAACGCCGAGCAAGCTCGTATCGCCGAGGAAGCTGGTGCTTGCGCCGTCATGGCTTTGGAGCGTGTTCCTGCTGATATTCGTGCTCAAGGAGGCGTTGCTCGTATGAGCGATCCACAAATGATTAAAGAAATCAAACAGGCCGTTACGATTCCGGTGATGGCTAAGGCTAGGATTGGTCATTTCGTTGAAGCTCAAATCCTTGAAGCAATTGGAATCGATTACATCGATGAGAGCGAGGTTTTGACTCTTGCTGATGAAGATCATCACATCAACAAGCATAATTTCCGGATCCCTTTCGTTTGCGGTTGCCGGAATCTCGGCGAGGCTTTGAGGAGGATCCGTGAAGGTGCGGCGATGATAAGGACCAAAGGTGAAGCTGGAACTGGTAACATTATTGAAGCTGTGAGGCATGTGAGGTCTGTTAATGGTGACATTAGGGTTTTGCGAAACATGGATGATGATGAGGTTTTCACTTTCGCTAAGAAATTAGCTGCTCCGTACGATCTTGTGATGCAGACTAAGCAGCTTGGTCGTCTTCCTGTAGTCCAATTCGCCGCCGGTGGAGTGGCTACTCCGGCTGATGCAGCTCTCATGATGCAGCTTGGATGTGATGGTGTCTTTGTAGGTTCTGGTATCTTCAAGAGCGGTGACCCAGCGCGTCGTGCACGTGCCATTGTTCAGGCTGTGACTCATTACAGTGACCCTGAGATGCTTGTGGAGGTGAGCTGTGGACTTGGAGAAGCCATGGTTGGGATCAATCTCAATGATGAGAAGGTTGAGAGGTTCGCTAATCGCTCCGAGTGATCAAAGAACAAAAAGGTAAAATTTGTCAGACGAAATGGTTTCAGAATTTCTGAGAACATTTTGCAGTAATCTCTTTGAAAAGAAGAAGATGATATTGTTGGGTAGTTTGTATCCTTTGTGTTTTCCTTATATCTTTGATAGTGTTTTGTTTTTTGTAATCTCGTTATCCATTTGCAAGAACAAGTTTGTCAGTTATAATAATGTACTACTCTCTTGGTCAGTTGATTTTGAATCTGATATATTCTTCAAACCATTGATATGGAGCTTGTTGTTCAATTAGATTTCAGTCAGCCTATTAGTAGTGTCAGGTTGATAAGAAAGGATAAAACTTGTATGATTTGGTAATGAGATCTTGCTCGTGCCTGATACTGAGCTCTGCAACTGTTTTAGTATTGGATTTGGTTTGAAGAACTGTCCTGGATTAGATTCACATAGCCTCTAGTTCTTATATCAATTTGTGATTTCAGGCATAGTTGTGAATTTGACAGAGGAAGAGAATATGATTTGGGTTTTCTTTGTTGTTAAAGAGTAAGAATCATCGATTTCATGATTTGAGGATTATGGTTTATGGGGGTTCTTTGCAGCTATGATTGCATTCTAAATTGGTTTATGTGAAATGCTTTGTTAATGTGTGATTAGTAAAGGAGAGAGTTCATGGGACTCTTCTAGCTTTGAAAATCCATGGGACTCACTCTTCTAGCTTTGAAAATCCATAAGAGTCTTTTAGCTTTGAAAACCCATGGGACTCTTCTAGCTATGGGATTTCAGATCTTTACTTCAAAACTGAGTTCTTGAAGTCTTACACAACACCATGACTTAGGGATACGAGAGTATATATATATCCCCTTCTCTTCAGCCTCTAAGCTCTTGGCTTTGCCGGATCCAATTTATCCAGAGAGCATTACTTCAAAATGTTCTCATGCTCATACTAACTGTTTAATTCTGTTAACCGAGAACAACCAAATCAAACAGAACTTAAACCAAATTGTAGTAATTGCAATTTGATGCACCCCACTCACATTTTGTCCGAAAAGACTCCACTAAGAAGACCACAAAACACGGATAAAGTCATTGAAATATCAATGAAGATAGGCCCACATCGGCCCATTCTTATTCCCCAATGGCTTTTTAATTAATTCACTAATTATGGGAGACTTATCTAATATAATATCAATTATGAGGGACCATTGTACAATTTCTTAATTTATCGAAACGACGCCGTGGAGCTATTTATCAGTCCTCAAAAATGAAAATCAGTTCAATTGTGTTCATATCAGAAATAAAACGAATCTCCATCGTCCTTGTCTCTAAACCCTATGCTATAGAAGAGAAGAAAAAGAGAGATGCATATCCATCGAAGCTCTGGGCACTAGTGTATTAGTATTATCGATTGTTTGAAACCTAATATTATGGTTGGAATCATGGCTTCGTATTCAAGAGAAAGGCTTGAAGGTCTCGCAAGTTCCGCCAAATCAGCCACAGAATTGCCTCCGAAACTACAACGCTTGCGCTATTTGCGCCGGGATTTGCGAAAGGACGAATCCGTTTTTCCCACCGAGCTGCTTCCTCACCTTTTCGATCTTCTCTCCGATCAATTCGGTGCTGTCCGCAAGTTTGTCGCCGAGTAAGCTCCGCTATTGTATAATCTGTAACCCTTTCCTGGTGATTAGTTTTATTCTTGTTCTGGTGATTTCAATGCTGGAGTTTCTGAAATTTTTCGGATTTGTTTGTAACTACACAGATATAAATCAATTTCAGAGTTCTTATAAATGATGAAATTGTTGATTCATGGTCTTTGTGAATCCTGTATTTTTGTAATTACCGTCTCTAGCCACCCTAATGATGCATTATTTCTTGCCTTTGTATAATTACTTACTCTTAATCCTGGACAACATCTCACTTCAGGCAGTGATGGTTTAGTGTCTGTCTTACTCTCATTAGCTTGCTGAAGGATTCCTTTGCGACTAGTATAATCAAGGACGTGTTCCTCTCTTGACCTAGGAAATTTGAATAACTCGCTGAACCTCTGATGCTATTTCAAATGCAGGATACTTGGTGAAGTTGGATTGAAATATGTGGAATTATTACCTGAAATAGTACCGCTTTTAATTAAGTCTCTCGAAGATGAGACACCAGCTGTGGCGAGGCAGGTCATTGCTTGTGGAGTTGATTTATTTCGTTCCACCCTCGAAAGAGTGGCAGTTCAGGTTGTTTTCTTGTTTTTGTTTTTTTAGGTTCTGTGACCTGTTCTTCCTGCATTTGGTATGTAAATCCCTTCTTATTTGATGTGCTTATTGCTATTTGGCTTCCAGGGTTTGCATTCTAGTGAGTTGAATGATCTTCTTGAATCTTCGTGGACATGGGTGATTAAGTTCAAGGATGAAATATGCTCATTGGCTTTCAAGGTGGGAATTAATGCTTTCTCTAATTCCCCGTTGGGTTGTCTTTCTTATCTGATTGTATTTTTTCTTTTGACCTGTATATTAGCAAGGAAATAGTGGTGTAAAATTATGCGCTATGAAATTTGTGGAAGCGCTTATTCTCTTGTATACTCCTCATGAAGGTAAACCTTTATGGATCTATCCGCTCAATTCGTGAAACTAGAATTTGTTGTTTTATTAGTATCTTATTAGAAACTAGTTGCTTATACAATCTAGTTACCTGTCCTGAAGGAATTGAAGCAGATTTTAATATATCTATTCTCCGTGGTGGTCATCCTGTTTTGAAAATTGGAGACTTGTCGATTGAGGCCAGCCAGAAATTGGGTTTACTGCTTGATCAGCTTAGGCACCCTGCAGCAAAATCTCTAAATAGCTCTACGATTATTGTTCTCATTAATAGGTGAGTTGTTTTTAAGTGCATCTATATGCGCAGTTTATTTTGGTATTGTTGAATCAGTTTGAAGCTTGGAAAGAGTGCCTGCAAAATTATCTTATTCATAAAAAGATAGCTGTATATGTTTGCTTCTATTACTTTCAATTTGGTTCATTTTTGTCTAGAAAATCTTTATAATCAGAACATGGATGAAAAACTTAGATTTGACTTTGACTGTAGAGCATCCAATCTAGTAAGGACGAAGTTCCTGTGATTAGAACGGGGTAAGTGTAAAAATATGCTTTGGTCCTCACACGCAGTTACTAATATTTAAGGGAAAACTGTGTTTGGTAATCTGCCGGTACTCTTTCATTGTGAATTGTGTAGATGGGGATCCAGAATGTCATGTAAGCTTGTCTTATGTTTCATGATTTCCGTTTCATTTTGATTCTGTTTCTTCTACAGTCTTTCATCAGTTGCAAAGAAACGTCCTGCATACTGCGGACGAATTCTACCTGTTCTACTGAGTTTGGATCCCCTAAGCTTTCTCAAAGGAGTGCATGCTGCAGCAGCAAATCTTGCCTTGAAGACTGTATTTCTCTCCTGCTTGAAATGTACACATCCCGCTGCTGCACCGGTATTATTTTGTTTTAGTTACCTACAATGATTTAGTTCACTGTTATTTTATATTATAGATTTTTTTCATTATGCTGAGCTGGTATACATTGTCAGTGCAACTAAACGACCATAGTTCCATGCTATGTATTTAATTTTCCCAATAGTTTACGGCTCGGATGTAATGGGTAATGTGTACTATGCTGATCTGTCTTACTTGCTATCCTATCATTGCTAATCAACTATTAGTGGTATAACCCATTCTTATAAATTTTGTGATGGTGTATTCTCCATGGAGTTGATTTTCGTAGCTAAATGCAATTTTCCGTATGCTGTCAATTTTCTCCAGTGGAAGGACCGGTTGATCAGTGCTCTTAAAGAGATAGAAGGTGGAGGTCGGGCAGCCAAAGCGAAAGATCTCTTTTACAAGACTAACGGAAGCATTCAGGACAAAGATAGTGTAGAGGATACCAAAGTAATTTGTTCCTCGTATGTTTATCGTTGTGTGTGCATGCGTCTCTCCGGTTTTTTTTTTGGTTATGTTTATTGAATACAGATATAAAAGCCAAGAACTTTTAATTACAGGTATCAATGGAAGAGAATCCTCTCTGTGCAAGTTCTGATGTTGCAGAAAGTAACTTAAGTAGGAAAAGATCTGGATCAGAATACAATATTGATCTAAATGGAGATGCTTCGGATGGAAAACGTGCAAGAATAACACCTTCTGTGTCAGAAGAATCCATTGACGGATTAAATGGTAATGATGGTGGCTCTCTACCTCGGGTTGCTTCTACCTTGACCGGACCAAGTGATAGCAGAGGAGTGAGTGATACTGGACCTACTCAGCAGCTAGTTGGTTTGTTTGGAACCTTGGTTTCTCAGGGTGAAAAAGCAATTGGATCTTTGGAGATTCTTATTTCAAGTATTTCGGCGGATTTACTTACTGATGTTGTGATGGCTAATATGCATAATATTCCACCAAATGGTTCTTCTTATGCTGATGGCACCGATGAGTTGGTGATGAACATGTGTATAGTTGGCAGTGATGCACAAATCAAATATCCACCATCATTTGTAGCGGGTGTCCTTTCACTGTCAACCGCATTCCCACCAATTGCTGCCCTGATAAATCCTCACAATGTATGGGTGCTCTTTGCTTGATTAAGTATTTCTATCTGTTTTATATTTTATTGCTTGTCATTTATGCTCCTTGTTTTACCTTCTCGTCTTTAAGATTGTATTGTATACTAAAATCTCACCAATAACAGGAAGATGAGGAAGTCTATTCTGTTCATGTGGACCAGCAAATGTTTCCAGCTGAAGATGCAAGAACTCCACCTGGCTTATTAGCTTCCTCTTTTCCAGAAAATGAAGAAAGCAATACTGTGTCTCTACAAAATGTGCATTACATAAGGAAAAGAGAAAGTGGAATACCTGGACTGGAATCTTCTGCTCAACATGATGTATCAGGAGCCCTTGTTACTAATGTATTGAGTTCTACGAATATGGAGGCTGCAAGCAAAAATCAAAATGCGAGTTTCAGTGGAAAACTTCTTGTCGATGTAATTCCCTCAATGTCTGTGGATAAGTCGGAGGAATTTAGTCCAAAGGCGGTTGGCACAGGTTCTACCAGCTTGGTTTTGTCAACGGCAACTTCAGTTGCTTCTGCGCCTCAGTTTGTCTTGCCTAAGATATCAGCACCTGTTGTCGACCTTTCTGATGAAGAGAAAGACAGTTTACAAAAGCTAGTGTTTTTGCGCATTGTTGAAGCATATAAGCAAATATCAATGTCTGGTGGCTCACAACTCCGCTTTTCTCTTCTTG